TTGTATATGTCCAGTTTGTTATTCAGCTGCTTGAAGTAAAAAGCATGTCACTTTTTGATTTAACAAGAAATTAAAGCAGAGTGCCAAAACATGAATGCTGAGAACTCTCACAATAAACAGGGACGGGTTTCTCTGGGCATTCCACCAATTTTTCCTTCTTGAAAACAAAACCTGACTATACATCACACGCTTGCTGATCTGATCCCCACACATTAATGTATACATAATCAGATGCTGCACAGACTTTCTAACAACCACACACCACAGCTTTGACTCAACACTGATGGGTCAGACACACACAAACACACCCACCCAATGTCTCCTCCTCCATGTAATTTCTTGCTTCTGCCAACTTTTCATTTCCATTAACCTGTGACTCTATAACATGTCCTTCCTTGTCCACTTGTCTCCGCTTCACCCACTCATTCTTCTCCTGTCTCATTCCACCACCTTCCTCTTTCTTTGAAGCTCTGGGCTGGCCATGTGACTGAGATGCCCCAGCTTTGCTCTGCTGTTCCACAATAATCTGCACACGACCAGCACACTATTTACACGGAGAGCTGGACACGTGCACAAGACTATTAAGCGTACATGCACATGAGAAGATGACAAAGCCATAGAGTAGCCAAGTTCCTCTGTGCTAAAACCACCTGGACAATTGTAACAGAAAAACTAGAGGAAGGTAGTCATCAAACACCCATCTGACCACATAAAAACTACAGTAAAAATATTTTTGCTGAAAATATCCATATTAAGTCTAGTCAAAAACAAATTCAGGTGAATTCTGAGTTACACAGTATGGTGCAGCAGGGATGAGAAATGTGCTGGAAATGAGAAGGGAGACTATAGATACTATAGTGTAAAACACCACTAGTGAGACAAAAATCAACCTGTGGCCACATTTTGAATTTCAGTTTGTCAGCTTTTGTTAGAGGGTGAGCTTCCTAGCAGGCTTCTACACACACACACACACACACACACACACACACACACACACACACACACACACACAGTTATTCTCTGAGAGAGAAACACAGGTCTATAAAACATTTAATGTGTAATCACATGCCCACATCAAACCCAACAGACTCATACAGATGATGCATGGGTGTAACGTGTGTTCCTGCATTCCTGTGTGACCCACTGTAATGTACAGATACCATGGTTACGTGTGCTGTTTCTGTTGATCAATCAGTTTGTGGAAAACTGTTTCATTCACACAGTGTCCCTCTGCTCTGCAGAAGTTGGACTCACTCACATTTGTACTAAAATCCTCTTCACTGGATTCAGCTAGAGAGGTGACGCTAAAATGTTGGATAACATTAAAACAGCAAGATCACTGCAGTGAACATTTAGAGATGTTTTATATTTGTCTACCTACATTAATCCTGGTACTGACTGACAGCGACACAAAAGGTATCTGACTGGAAGGAACATAATGTTACATCTACATCCACAGCTGAAAAAACGTAGAAAAAATCAACTGGACTAGATTTCTAGGTCGAAGACGTTTCACCTCTCATCCAAGAGGCTTCATCAGTTCTGACTGACTGGCACTGAGTCGGAGATATTTATCCTCATCGGTGGTGTTTTAGTCCTTTGATGGCCAACAATGTCCCCTAACGACCGAGTTAGTTTTTTCAGTTTACTATGACCTGGATGACTGATAATCTACACCCACAGTTTTTCATGTTAAATTATCCTGCCGTTTCATAAGGCACGCTGCTGCATTCTCCTATTGTGTCCCAGTGGTTTTCGTGCATAATTCTATGGATTACAGAAATACTACTGAATGTAAGACGGTAGCAAAACACATCAAGCAGCTAAATCACCTCCTGAACGAGAGACATTTTGGCCAGTGGAGGAAACAGCTTTACTGATCAGCACCTCCAGTTTGTGACACCACAGATGTGGCAGGTTGTTAAGTGACTTCATGTCCATTCATCCGTCTTTAATATTGTTGTTGCTGAGAGACGAAGCAGTCCAAGTAACTACAAAACAGTGCTGATTTATTCCATGAACACAGGTAAAAATTAACATTACACGCTCAGGTATCTTGCACCTCCAACCTGCACGCAGGCAGATGAAAGATGAAAGACCCTGAACCCACCAGGCCTATACATTATATCCCCTCGGTTGGGCTAGCCCCATACTACACAGAAATGTCAACCGCGATGTCTCTGGTGCCAGCTTTGCAGCTGGTCATAGCAGTAGTCAAAACATGCAGCAAATCAATGTGTGAATGTGTGTGTCTGTTGATTAAGTGGTGTGTAACTAAAAACATTCTCACACGACCTCTAGTAACATGTCGTGACTTAAACATAAGAACATATTATGGTTAAGGCTACAGTTATACACGTCATAATAATATTAAACATCCTGTCTGCTGACAGTCATCAACTTTTCTCTCTAGTATCCTTGACCAGATGTACCCTGTAGAAACTCATAAGCATGACTAAGCATTTAACAGTCTAACTAGACATCCTATCTTCACTAAACATTTCTAATACATAAAGTATCTATCCAATTTCTATCTGACTAAAAATACCTAACAACTTGTTATTTAGTTTTAGTTTCATTTTGGTCCTGAAAAGTAGGTAGACAACAAGTATTTTGTCATAGTTTTCGTTAACAAAATTAACACCGTCTTCCCTGATGACCTGCCTGTCTGTGTGTATGTTTATGCATGAATAATAATAATAATAATAATTCACTTTCAGCTGTTCCCAATAGGGGTTGCCACAGCGAATCGTCCCACTGACAAGTCGCATGGTGAAGTTTGGCATGTGTTTTACGCCGGATGCCCTTCTTGACGCAACCCTGAATCGAACCCAGGCAAACATGAATACAGTATACTAACAGATTAACCATGACACTGAAGAGTGCCACAAAACGCAGCCTTCCCTTCGAACCCTAGACCTTAAATGTAGGAAACTTCCCTTCTTACAGGGTCACATGACCAAGTCCTGATCCGTTACCGCTGCATTGCAGTGTGTTCCAACCTGCAGGTCACCCTTTTCTGTGATGTTGGATTTAGGTGTTAATTAAACTGAACTGAATATATTTGTAACCCATTTTTATTTGTAACCCATATTTATTTTACTGTGATTGAGCTGAGCTGTGTGTGAACACAAAATCTGTTCCAAATGAGCTTTACTTGATACAGATATTCAGAGTTCACTGACAAGAATAATTACATGAAGTCAGTTTCCTCCCACACCAAGGTGTTCCACATAAAGACAACAGTTCTCACACCACCTGCATTTCATCTTACTTAGATCTTTGGATGTGTGTGGCAGGCACACACAGCGCATTTCCTGCACACCCCAGTACCTCAGGCAAATGAGCAGAGTGTGGAACATACCATAGCTTAGCACTAACAAGGCTAGTTAATGTTAGCACTGACTGGAGAGGCAACAAACACAGAGGCACTAGGTAGTCAGTGGGGCTCCATCTCCCATGCTTCAGCTTCTATATCCAGTGACATCTTAATGAGAGGCATGGTTCATCAGTTTCTTCAAAGTTATACTAGACTGGGTGTGAGTTTGTCATGTCCACTGAGTGCCATCTTTCTGAGGTCATTACAGTTCAACTATGGCCTTTTTTCAGCTGACACCTAAAGTCAATCTTGTTAGAGCTAGGACTATAAACAGCTAGTAATGCAACATTTTTAGTCCAGCTTGCTGACCCAGATAAGACCTGCATCCCGATTCCATAATCATGCAGTCATGACCAAAAATATTGGCACCCCTGCATTTCTGTCAGTTAAGGCACCGCTTCTCCCAAAAAATTGTTCCAGTCACAAATTCTTTGTTATTCTTATGTTTATTTCTTTTGTTTGCATTGGAACGACACAAAAAGCAGAGAAAAAGCCCAATCTGATCCATTCCAGACAGAACTCTAAACATGGACTGGATAGAATTATTGAAACCTTTTCAAAATGATCAGATATAGTTGTATTTCCAGCCTGTGATGCTCCTTTAATTTGTAATGAAACTCACCTGTAGCAATCAACAGGTGCTGGCAACATAGAAATCCCACTTTGGGTTGGTTTCAGTTATTTTGTCCAAAGGGTGTGCCACCAAATATTAAGCTGAGGGTATCAGTAATTCTGTCCAGTGTGATGTGGATCAGATTAAGCTTTTTTTATGCTTTTTGTGTTGTTCCAATGCAAACAAAAGAAATAAACATAAGAATACCAAAGAATTTGTGATTGCAACAATTTTCTGGTAGACGTGCAGGGGTGCCAGTATTTTGAGCCATGATTATATTGAATTTACTTAAGTAAATTTAAGTATGTACTGTATGTACTGTGTGCACATTGGAAAACACACAAAGTATACTCTAAGAAGTTAGTATACACAATTAAAACCCCTGTTTTTCTGTACATGTTTCTCCCACAACACAAAGAAAACCATTAAAGCATAAAGGTAGAAGTACAGTATCTTGTGACTGGTGGTAAAACATTTTTGTGAATAACACAGAAAACACAATGGATTAAATCTTGATGCGTTGTTTCTTAAGTTTAACTGGCACTGACATGTGCGCTTCAAGTAACATGCGTATTCTACAGTGTGTTGACTTCTTTTAGTACTAACTGCACAACCATAATTTTAAGATGAACTAATATACAGTATGTACTGTATACACAGATCATATGAAATTGGGACTCAAGATTAATATGCGAAACTGCCTCCCTTAGTTCAACATTGATCTCTGAAGTAAAATTCAGTCTGTCTCTACCATGTACTAGCTGTCCCACGGAAAAGCAAGTATACACAGTATGCCATCTTTGATAGCACTAGTCTGATAAGTGTTTGAATCCTGCCAAGTCCTGAAATGATCCTTCAGTTAGTTTCTATTCATTCTTGCAAGAAAAAAGTCAACTATAAAGATCTGATAGATTCTTTACATTTTCAGTCCAGCGTCTCAGCACTGGCCTTCAAAAGCTCAAACCCCGGTGTGTGTGGATCAACAGGAAACCAAAGGGCATCACTCACCAGCATTAGAGATGCGTCTCCCTCTCTCCCAGTCCTGCTGTTCTCTGTCTAACTGCTCTTGCTGCTCCCTCTCCAGCCGCTCTCTCTCTGCCTTCTCCCTCTCCATCAGCTCATGCTCAGCGCACTCCTGCTTCTCCAGACGCTCTCGCTCAAGTCGCTCCCTCTCCATCTGTGCCTCCATCTCCTGACGCTCCTGTTCCTGACGTTCTCGCTCCTGCCGCTCCCGTTCCAGCATCTCTCTCTCCAGACGCTCCCGTTCCAGCATCTCTCTCTCAAGACGCTCCCTCTCTTGACGCTCCCGTTCCATCTCCTTCTGTCTCTGCAGCTCCTGAAGCTGCCTGAAGGAGAAGAGGAGAGGAGGAAAGGGAAAAGAAGTGACAACAATATAGATATGTTAATTGTATCAAATATCTATTTTGGCAACATTCAGTAAAATGTGTCCAAAATCAAAGGATTAACACTTTTACTACAGACTGAAACCTAAAAAATCTGAACAGTGGCAGAATGAATAAAAAGTCAATTAGTGTCATTACATCAGATGTCATTATATAATAAAGGTTCTAAGGCGCAAAGACCATGCTGTTATGTAACCACAGCTAGCTTTGCTAATATGTGGGCACATTGAACACATACAGAGTTTAAGACTACCAATGGCAAAAGCTTCTTTTGGCTGCACACAGCTGCAAAGACCCAGCTTTGTGCCTGACAGTGGAAATACAAGAAAATAAAGGGTGATGGGAGGGTTGTATAATGTGTGGCGTATTCAGGGAGGTTTTCCTGTATGTTCTGCTCTGGCCACTAGGTGGTAGCAGAGGCAGCAGTAGAGAGACTGGTAATGTGAGGCTACAGCAGCTGG